TCTACTTTCACTTGCAGATACGTTTCGGAAAAGTCTGTTTTTGCGAAGAATCGTCTGCCACTAAATATAGCAAATAGATCTTCAGAACTGGTAGTGAGCACCGATATATATCCAGTACAGCGCTTAAATCGGTCAAAAATTTGGTGCATACGTGTATGGTTCCATTGCCTTACTTAATCACCACGATCAGTTTACGTGTGATATCAAAACATACAAATGCTACGAGATTTATTGTAATAGGATGCCTAGTCAGGCTGATATTTTAAAAGATATTTCATCATAGAAATATGAGAAGTATATGATTAGTGGAAGTAGAACTAGAATGTACAATGATAAGACAACGGTCCTATGTAAGCTGGGTTGTGACGATCAACTGGCGATCAAGAAATAATGCAGAGCAGGTCTGGTGCTGTTTATCACCAAAAATGTCGGAGTTCACGCACAATTTTTCAATTAAATTCGCCGAGTTTACATATGACTTATCCTTATTAGCACCTTCAGCTATGACAGGCCGTGGATATAGGAACACAAATCTTTACGACATATCAAAGGCACGGGATAGATTCGTACGTACTGTATGTGCGTTTTCGGTGACGTTTGATCATGATGCCGAAGACCATCTAGAAACCGTTGTCTCGAAAACTGAAGGAGAAATGTAATACGTACACTATCTAGCTCCATTTTATTCTGCATCGATTCCGACTAGTTATATTGTGTTATCCATTTATTTAAACGATAGCCAAGGAAATTACGTATTGCTAATAAATTCCAGCAGTTCAAAGATCCCCATAGAATATACAAGAATGAAGAATATTTGAGTGAGCGATTAAATTCAATAACTTCATCATCAGGCTCTAGATTTAAAAGTCCTTCGTTTTTGAAGTATTTTACAAAGACCAAAATAAAGCTTGCGTTAATGAATTCGACAGTGTTATATGTTCAGCAATGAGAACGTTCGCATCTGTTACGACACATTTACTTCAAAATTATGTCATTTGCAAATCAGAAAGTTTATTTCATCAAGGTCAGAATTATTTAAAGAAAAGTGTCAAGACACAATCAGTATAATAGTAACATGGGAAAAATGAAAATGAAAAGATTCGTGTGAATGAAATGCATAGTAGGGAAATTTAATCTTGGTAATTGAGGTAATAATGATAATAATAATAATAACAATAATAATGGTAATTATAATATCGCTGTGCGAAGAAAATATATAATAAGAGTGGTGTCATAATGGTAATTACGATAAATAATTCATGTGAATTGGGATAGACGTCTAGTACTGTACTTTTATCACGAGAACACGATTGGTTTAATGAAAAAAATTATTATTATAACCAGTTGTACCAGTGACTGTTTTACTGTGCTCGTTTGTTAGACTGTGCTACCATCACTCTCCATTACTTTTCCGCAGATTGTGACTTCGTACGTTAGTACTCTTGCTCACTGATTCCATTTGTACTCCCTTTTGCACGATCTCGGTATTCGTTCGATACCACGAGACCGCCAAAGAATAAATCTGGTTATATTCAATCTTCGCCTTCTGAGTTGTTTGGTACGCGTCTCCTTGTAGTGGTGTTCATAGTCAATTTCGACTCGACTCCACGCTACAGACGTATGTGAAGTTTAAAATAGATGAAACCAAAAAATATGGGAGGTGGGTTAGAGGTTTGTAATATTCAGTGTGGGTATCCGGCGGTCCATTCGTAAGCCAACGCCAACATAGAGGATGGATATATTTTCCCTGGATACAAAAGACTAGACAACCAGACATTCAAACCGGATTTTCCAGACGACTGTAATAGGTGTGTTTTTAACTGTTCCTCCGTTAATCACGATAGGACTCCACAGACGTTCTATCACTAGGTTCTTAGTTTTGTGATAGTCGTAGACATGTAGATTATTTGAATAGCGATGTTCAGTTTGAGAGCCTATTGACCCAGATACATGACTTAACGCCTACGTCAAAAGTCGAACATGAAATTTTCAAGACCGGAATGCAACCAATTTCTGCCCATAAATGTCTTGAAATCTGTATTAAAAGATCATTGTAATGAAAGTGCACACAGAATTAAGCATATGTCTTAAAACGTTTTAAACTGCCTTAAAACTATCCGAGACCTAAGTTTTATCACTTTACTCAGCCTATAACTAATTGAACTAAGTATAAGCCAGTTGAAGACGACTAAATTGACATGTCGCTCAAGTTTCCGTTGATATTGAAGTAAAACGTAACATTCATTTTTCCTTTGGCAAAATGTACAAAGTAGACATGTTGATTAACAGCGTTCAATGTCCTTAAATACTGTGTTAGTACCTGGATAATATGTGTTTTTCATGTTACATGTGAAATTGTACTACACAAAATATAATGAGGATTATTGGCTAAAAATGGTGCTTTCAGCGATTTGCAATCAAGTTTTGTGTAGTTTCTACACAAATTGGTAAGTTACGAAGTTAAATTCTATTATAATGACCTGAATCGATGTTTCTGGAAAACGAGCTGGGCTATTAATCCATGATTTGGACGTATGGGGTATATTATGCATGAATATAAGCTGATAGATGTGTATTTTTCAACATAAAGTCCTCAAACGTTTTAGGATTTTGTTTCAAAATGCATATATGTCCGAGATTTCGTTCCAAAGCTAGTACGAAACCTCTCAAACTGAGTGGTTGTGGTTAGACAAGTAATATTAGTATGTGGGTGTTTCAAAAATATACTGATATTATGCACTTAGGTGTGTTGATATTCTATTTTAGTCACCCAAATGACATTGTCTACCTTGTTTTCGCATAATCCAAGAAAACCTTTTTCTTCATTCTGAAGGGTAAGTTTTTGTTTAAATTTGTATTGTAGTTGGCTAGGTAACTAGGATTCCACGGAAGAAAAGCTCCCCAAAAATGTAATAGGAATGCTATATTCCGCATATTTTCTATCCTGCAGTAGTTAACCTTCTTGTGCGCGTTTTTGACGGTTGTAACTTTTTTCACATGGCATTATTTTATTTTCCTATTAGTTTTTCCCCTTAACATTTATAGCGATAGATAATTCGTCACTGATAGGGTTATATCAACTTGACACATTTTGGGACTCAACGTCATACATTAATTTTGCTAGTTTTCACGCTCTCTAGCTAGCGCGAACTTTGAAAGTGGTAACATTTTTTCACGTGGTCTAGGAATTCTTCGACTTGCTTTTTTGTAGGGTGTATTATACTGTGATTATCATCCTATCCTGTACATCGGGTACATCTTACCCCGAAGAATAAGGAAAAAACTTGTTTTTATCGACGGACAATTACCAGTTCGTATTGTACCTATTGCGGACTTAAGTCGTAAATAGATCTGCAATTTATTATATACTCATAGTCTCTAATCTTAGTAATAACCAGATTAGTACTTAATAACAACTAATACTCAGATATTATATTTAATTTAACGAGCACTGTGCTCACTTTTTTTCATATCATGTCCAATAACTCCAGTAAAAGTGAAATTTCACCAACTTCTAAGCCAAATGAAAGGTCCAAATCTGTAACTCCTACAACTGACGACTCAGTGCTTGACAATGTCGAACCTTTAACTACTGAAAAATATGTGTATTGTACACAAATGTCTCTATCATCACCAGATTCTCCATGTCGCAGCCCTTCTATCTCTACGTGCAGTATGCTAACGGTAAGACTGGTTGACATACAAGACACTATACCTACGTGCATCGAAAAGTCAGCACAGTCTACTAGACAGTATGTGCTACCAAGGCCTAAATCTAAGATTTCAGAAACTAGAGTCCAGTGGTCCACCTTATACACACCAAAATACTAATAGA